TAGGTGGCTTCATCATTGCCAGAAGTAAGTAGATTAAACCCTCTTGCCTCTTAACTATTTCGAGATCCCATATTGGTTGGGGAGGAGAACGAAACATTCTTTATAAGGATGTAGAAACTTCTCCTTAGCATACGCGTTTTAAAAACTTTGAGGGGAAACTCACAAGGAAAAACTTAAAGAAGACAATATCTAGTAGTGGTGGGCTTGGGCCATTACAAATGGTATAGAGCCAAACACTAGGCTATGTGTTAGCGAGGACGCTGGGCCCCGAAGAAGGTGGATTGTGAGATCCCACCTCGGTTGGGGAGGAAAATGAAACATTTTTTATAAGAGTGTGGAAACCTCTCATTAGCTGATGCATTTTAAAAATCTCGAGGGGAGCTCAAAAGAGAAAGCTTTGCTAGTGGTAGACTTGGGCCATTACTCTTCGAGCCTAACCCACAAGCCACAATCTCTACGTGAATACGACCGTGCAGATTCCAATGAAGTCTCAGCTTCTTCCCAGGTTGGATATTAGTAGTACTTACATATCTTTGATATTTGCAGGTGACATAGAGCCATGGATCATATGGGGCTACTACTCGTCTCCTATGATGTATGGACAAAATGCAATCGTCATTAATGAGTTTCTAGACGACAGATGGAATCAGGTATGATGTTCATAAAATCATAATCAAATGTCACAAACAAGTCATTAGTTTCCAAAACTAAACCTGTATTGGCTTGATGCAGCCTCCAACAGATCCCAGATTAAATGGAACTACAGTTGGGAAGATTCTCCTTGGTTCAAGAGACTTTTATGATACTAATAAAATGTATTGGGTTTGTGTTGCTGCACTCTTTGGGTTCTCTCTTCTTTTCAACCTACTCTTCATCATTTCATTGACTTTCCTCAACCGTAAGCCAAATCTTCTGGTTTCCTTTCAAGAATTCTCTATGAAATCTTTCCTTTTTTGCTGTTACTGAACTATCTGACAAACCAAATTCAGCTTTGGGCGACTCGAGAGCTGCCATTGCTGATGACGCAAATAATAACAAGAAAAATCCATATTCTGCATCCAGAGGTAAGAAACTTGAGCTCAATCCCTGTTTTCTGGGATGGTCTTGTCTGAATGTGTGGTTAATTACAGGTACTCAAACGCAACCTACAAAGTCTTCAAATGTGGCGAATAATTCAAATAGTCCAGCAAAGAAAGGAATGGTTTTGCCCTTTCAGCCGCTTTCCCTTGCATTTAACCATGTCAACTACTATGTGGATATGCCTGCTGTAAGTTACTCATTCTTACTGCTTTCTTTTGAAAGTTAATGGAGTTTACAAAGCTAATGGATGGCTCTCTTGTTCAAAATTTTCAGGAAATGAAGAGTCAAGGGATTGATGAAGACCGCCTTCAATTACTGCGGGATGTCAGTGGAGCTTTCAGACCTGGTGTCTTGACAGCACTCGTAGGTGTCAGTGGGGCTGGAAAGACCACTCTAATGGACGTCTTAGCAGGAAGAAAGACAGGAGGATACATTGAAGGAAGCATTAATATATCTGGATATGCTAAGAATCAAGAAACATTTGCTCGTGTGTCAGGTTACTGTGAACAAAATGATATTCATTCACCACATCTTACTGTCTACGAATCAGTGCTCTATTCAGCATGGCTCCGCCTTCCTTCAAGTGTCAACACAGCTACCAGAAAGGTTTGTTCTTTTAGGCTTCCTTCAAGTTTGATGTGCCTGAAGTTTGTTATCCTTAAATTTTTGTCTGTCTTTGTTGTAGATGTTTGTGGAAGAAGTTATGGAACTGGTGGAACTTAACTCTCTGAGAGATGCTTTAGTTGGACTTCCTGGGATAGATGGTCTTTCAACAGAACAAAGGAAGAGGTTAACTATAGCTGTAGAGCTGGTGGCTAATCCATCTCTCATCTTCATGGATGAACCAACATCTGGTCTTGATGCTAGAGCTGCAGCCATTGTCATGCGGACGGTGCGAAACACTGTCGATACTGGAAGAACTGTGGTCTGCACTATTCACCAGCCCAGCATTGATATTTTTGAATCTTTTGATGAGGTATGACATTGATATGAGCTTATATTTCTTTTCAAAAGTGAAATGAGCTTATATTTTGATCTTGAAACAGCTGCTGTTGATGAAACGAGGTGGACAAGTCATTTATGCTGGATCTCTTGGTCACCATTCTCACAGGCTCGTCGAGTATTTTGAAGTAAGAACATATTTAAGAACTTATTAGTCAACTAAGAGATCCCACGAAATACCCTTTTATAAGAGTGAAAATCTCTCCCTAGCAAACGCGTTTTAAAAACGTGTGTTTGGGCCATTACATATACTTATACTAACGCTCCTTTGAACTGCAACAGAGTGTTCCAGGGGTTCCAAAGATTAAAGATGGCTACAATCCTGCTACATGGATGCTTGATGTCACAGCTTCATCTGTTGAGACTCAACTTGATGTGGATTTTGCAGAAATTTACGCCAACTCTGCACTTTATCAGTACGTTCACTTTTATCTCAATTGTTTGACTCGTCTCCTAGGAGTTGTTGAGGATCATTGGGAGTGAGTCCAACATTGACTAAATTAAGGAATGATCATGAGTTTATAAGTAACGAATACATCTCCATTAGTAATGAGGCATTTTGGAAAAACCCAAAGCAAAGCTACGAGAGCTTATGCTCAAAGTGGACAATATCATACCATTGTAGAGAGCCGTGATTCCTAACCGGAGTTTCATAAGTTTCTATAAATTTTTCAGGAGAAATCAAGAACTTATCCAAGAACTGAGTACACCAGCTCCCGGATCTCAAGACCTGCACTTCCCAACCAAGTATTCTCAGTCATTCAATGTTCAGTACAAAGCTTGTTTCTGGAAATGGTATCGGTCATACTGGAGGAACCCTCGATACAACGCGGTGCGGTTCTTCATGACAACCATTATTGGACTTATGTTTGGGCTTATCTTCTGGAACAAAGGAGAAAAAACGTATTGATCAAAACCCATCATCACATTATGTATTTATTGAACTTCAACAAGTTTCATTCACATTTATTGCTCAATTCAACAGTGATGAAGAACAGGATCTGAGGAACTTTTTGGGTGCTATGTATGCTGCTATTCTCTTCTTGGGAGCTAGTAATGCCGCTGCAGTACAGCCAGTGATAACCATAGAGAGAACAGTTTTCTACCGTGAAAGAGCTGCTGGCATGTACTCTCCACTCCCCTATGCATTCTCTCAGGTAACAAACAACTCTGTCATATCCTACATCGGTTAGAGAGAGCAACGAAGTATTCTTTGTAAGGGTGTGGAAACGACTCTCTAGTAGACGCATTTTAAAACTAGCAGTGGGTTTGAGCTGTTACAAATGGTATCAGAGCCAAACACTAGATGGTGTGTTAATAAGGACGCTGGCCTCCAAAGGGGTTGGACTGTGAGATACCATATCTGTTGGAGAGGGGAACGAAGCATTCCTTACAAGGACGTGGAAACCTCTCTCTAAACGCGTTTTAAAACCGTGAGGCTGACGTAGACTTGAGCGGTTAGCCATTTAAGCTGACAATGTGGAACTCACTTGTTGTGTAGGTGTCCATAGAAGTAATCTACAACGCAATTCAAACAATAATTTACTCTCTACTACTGTTCTCCATGATGGGATTCGAGTGGAAGGCAACAAACTTCCTGTGGTTCTACTACTTCATCTTGATGTGCTTCGTGTACTTCACAATGTACGGGATGATGATTGTTGCACTAACTCCAGGCCCCCAAATAGCAGCCATAGCCATGTCCTTCTTCCTCAGCTTCTGGAACTTATTCTCCGGATTCATGGTTCCAAGAACAGTAAGTGAATTTGCATATTTCATTGATTCCCACCAAGAATTCAGCTTCACTGATTCCTTTTCCATTGATTCTGATATGAAATGCAGCAAATCCCAATCTGGTGGAGATGGTATTACTGGCTATCTCCAATCGCTTGGACGATCAATGGGTTAGTGACATCCCAAGTAGGTAACAAAGAAGGTAATCTCCGGGTAGCAGGGAGAGGGGAGATCCCAGTGAAAGCCTTCCTGAAAGACACATTTGGATATGAATATGACTTTCTCCCTTACATTGCTTTGGCGCACTTTGGTTGGGTGTTCATCTACTTCTTCGTGTTTGCTTACAGCATGAAGTTCCTCAACTTCCAAAAGAGATGATTTTTGTTATGTTTTTTTTCCATTACTAAACTGTAAAACTTGTCTGTAATCTGAATTGGGGGAAACCCAATGAGTTTCCTTTCTATTCTTTATATTATTTTTACCCATAACTACGGGTTCGAGTATATAAACTTTAATATGTGTCTAATAAATCTCTAAATTTTTAAATTTGAGAAGATTAATAAATATTAAAAAAAGAAAAGCGATAAATGAGAGATTAATTAAGAACTAAAATAAAGAAAGGAATAAAGCAATAAAAGAAATTAGAGGAAATAAACCTAAAATTGAAAAGAAAAAGAGAGAATAAAAAATAGATATAAAGAAAAGTAAATGGGAAATGATTGGGTTGAGACCATAAATAAACTATTAACATGGATAAAGGTGAAAAGTCGATCCTGTCCAGTCGTATTTGACTCATTTTCATCCGCCACACGAAAGTGGCGCCACCTGCCGACAACCGCCGTGGGGTTTGCGTAACAAGTGGCGGCGCTGCTACTCCACCCTGACCAAAATTCCATATTTTCATTTCTCCATTATAAATATTTAAAAATATTGATACATAAATAAATAAGTGGTCCTATGGATTAATAATTAAAATGACGTAACTTAGGACCGCAACAATTCGGCAAATGAAATTGAGCTGTAATTGATCCCCAAAATTCAAAAATCAATTACTTAAATACAAATATATATATATATATATTTTTTTTTATTACTAAAAAGTCTGTTCTCCCGTGGATAATCCAAGGGTCAGAATTTGAAGATCTATTGTAAAAGCAAAAGAAAAAAATAAAGGTAAAGAAAAGCAGCGGCGTAAGAAAAGAAAGGGGATGAAAGGAGAGGGAATTCATTCATTCATCCATTCATACAAGCAAGAACAGAAGCGCTTCCTCTGGAGGGAAAGGAGAAAATTCAAGAGATGCAGAACGAGCAGAATCCGCAGCAGCTTCAAGTAATGTTACAGAATTCTGGAAATTTGAGTTTCAGTAGCAAAGAAGATGAAGAGATGTCCAAATCGGCGCTTTCGGCTTTTAGGGAAAAGGAGGAGGAGATTGAGCGGATGAGGACTGAACTTCAGCAAAAACTTCAAGCTCGACTCGGCCGAGTCGAGGAAGAATCAAGGCGTTTGGCCTCCATTCGAGAGGTTGTTCATCTCTTTCCTCCCTCCCTAAGGCCTAAAACCTAAACCCTAACTCTTTCGTTTTCCTTTCATTTTTTTTTTTTTTTTCCTATTTCATCTCTGCAACTGCAACTGCAACTGCAATTTGTGTTGGAATTCTGATTGTGTGAGAGTTCGAGTTTAATTTATTTAGAAATTTTGGATTAAATGTGGAACGATGAACAGGAACTTGAAGGCATAGATGGAGATCCAACGAGGAAGGAAATTGGACAAATCCGTAAGAGAATTGATACGCTAAACAAGGAATTAAAGCCTCTTGGACAAATATGCCAAAAGAAGGTGATTTCCATGGCTCTACTTTCGTTTCTATAAATTATAGTTCTACAAAAAATAAAAATAAAAAGAAAAATGGTTGGAATTGTTTGGTGGGAGCAGGAGAAAGAGTACAAAGATGCCCTCGATGCTTTCAATGAAAAGAACAACGAGAAAGTACAGTGTATATCAAAACTAATGGAGGTTAGTAGCTTTCTTCTTCAGTTCTTATTCTTTTATTTAATTAATTACTCATTTAGATTACTTAATTCGGTGTTATTTGTAGATGGTTGGTGAAAGTGAAAGGGTGAGGCTGAAGAGGTTGGAAGAACTGAGTAAGCATGTGGATAACAACCCTTCCTAATTCAATTCCCCTAAATTAATTCCCCTGTTTCTGTTTTTGTTAGTTTTCTTCATTCTTAAACTTTTAATTTGTTTATGTCTGTTTGAGTGATTTGTTTCTCTTTTGATTTCATTTAGGGTGGCTCACATATATATGTATGTATGTATGTATTGCTTTTAACCATACTATATATATATAATCTTTTCATTTCCTACACCTTATTTGTTTCTCCAAATGGTTTTGAAAATTGTTGGCCTAAATTCAGAAAAAAAAAAAAAAAAAAAAGATTTTTTATTATGGTTAGGTTAGTTTAGATTGGGGCAAGCTGTAACACAGCGCCCCACTATATAGTAGACTGGGCCTAGCCTCTCGTTTAGATTGGGCCAAGGTCTGAGAAGGAAGGCAGTGAATAAATATTAGATTGGGCCAAGCCCTAAAACCTGCGGTGCCGTCGTTAGGTGGTGGTACCATTCGTTTGTTATAGGGTTAGGGAAAATATATTATAAGGGAAGGTGGGTGGCGGTTTGGGAGGACATGTCTCCTATAATTAAAGTGGTTTTTGTTGAGATTCTGTTTTGAGGTAAGAATTTTGAGAAACAATTTGGAAAATAAATAAAAAGAAGAAGAAATGGGAGGCGACAAAGAGCATCGGGGTCCCATAAGGAAGGAATATAATTTTGTCCCATAACTAAAAATAATTTCATCATGCTTTTTTCATTCACTTTAATTCCAACAAAAAAATAAAAAACCATATATTTCCCATATCCTCTTTGATTTAGATTTAGATTTTGATTTAGATTTGTCGACGACTAGGTGATGAGAACCCTCTCCCCGTCCCCATTGCAAATCCTACTTTGTTTTTTGTTCTTCCTTTTTTTTTTTTTTTTTTTGTATAAGAAAATACCATGCCCATGTAGATCTCCAACCCGACCCACGTTTGGTTCGGTTCGGTTCGGTTCCTAGACCGGTATAGAATCCTATGTTAGAGAGAGAGAGAAAGGTGGGAAGTAGAAAGGCAGGGAGGGGGACAAATATCCGACCGTTTCTGAAACCAGGATGCGGCGTTTCAATCTTCCACGTGGACTTCAATCACTGGATTCTCGCTAAACGACATGGCTTCGGCGCACCCCTTGACGGTGCTTTCTTTTTTGTCCTTTTGCGGCTTCCCACTTTCATTTTTCCACCCAATATTAAATATTATTGTTACTCAAACTTCATCGGGTCTGCATTTTGTTCCAATTATTTTGTAAATTTTGTTAATAACTTACCTAAAATTGATTCTCCACAAGCTTAGTCGGCTACATATAACTATAATTCTTTTTTCTTTTTTTTTTTTGTTTTGTTAACGATCATAATAACCTTAAGATCACTTTCATTTAGAAGACGTAGTATTTATTTAGTCATATACCTCTTCTTTTATTCGTGTGTCTACATTTTGGACAAGAAGATTTGAGCAGAACTTTAAACCCAAAAACAAAAGTGGATTCAATAAAGGGCATATTTGCACTAATTATTGAGAATAGAAAGGGGTAGTTGACTCGACAAAAAGAACACATTAAACCCAAATCACATATTTTCCCTAGCTATTAATAGAAATGTAATCTAGAAAGCAACCAATTATAAATGTCCAACCTTTTCTCCAAACAACCCTTATGATATCACCCACTCCTCGTACGCATTAAATTTGTTAAAATAATTTTTTAAACCTAAATGGGACTAATATTTCTTAAAATCATAAAACAATTAGTGTGAAGTAAAAAAGGAGTATTAATTACTTAAAAAAAAAAAAGAGAGAGAGAGAGAGGGTTATATTGTCCAAGTGGCGACAAAAGTGAAAAAAATATGGCGGCCCCCACAAAATCTTATTATTTCAGTATATTTATTGAAAAATTAAAAAAATATATTATTATTATTATTATTATTATTAGAAGACTGCAAGAAAAATAATATATAGAGAAGGAGAATTTGAATTAAAGGTGAAAGAGGAGTAGTGNAATTGGAAAAAAATTTTAGGTGCAAAAAAAAAAAAAAAAAAAAAAAAAAAAAAAAAAAAAAAGCAGAAACGTGAAAGGACTCTGGACACACAGGCACGCGTCTTCGTTTCCTATAAAAAGTTGCCTTTTTTTTCTTTTTTTTATTTATTTTTACCATTTCCATAAACCCATTCAATTTCAATTTCAATTGCTTTTATTTAATATTTCATATATTATTTCATTTTCATGTAATTTTAAATAATTAAATTAAATTTGGATAATATTCTCATTACACCTTAATTTCCACTAATTTCCCAATAATGGCACAACATTTAACACCCAATTACTAACTTCCCAACCAATTTTTTTAAAATTAAACCTAAAAATGAATAAGAAGTCAATGGGTGAAATTAATCTTTAAAAATATTAACGATGTCATCTAGAGACTAGCTTCGACTCGGGAAGAGATTCCCTGTTTAGATCGGGAATGTTAGAGGGAGTAATAGAGTCGAAATTATATTAATATATATATTCAACCCATATCTTGCCCTATTCTACGAACATCTCTAATGTCATTCTAACATTTAAGGGTAGATTTGTCAATAGGTAAACGATTACCAATAGCCTCGAGAATTCTAGAAAATATTTTGATCAATTACACAAATGAACCTTAAAACGACAGTGTCCTCATATTTGTCTTGTGTCAACCATCGTACACTTTTAATGGTCCATTCCTTCATGTTAACGGTCCTTCGTCTCTACACCTCTTACTTTATGCAACCAACCTTAGCTCTTAATTTTCTTATAAGTTTTTTAACCATTACATTCACTTTTCTCGAGAAACTATTTGAACTCTTAATTAAATTTTTAACACGTTCTCGAAAAATATATTATTTTTTTAAAAAAATTGATGTAATGTTGACCCAAATTTTGTTTTTGGAGAAGGGGGAGGAAAGAAGGAAGGAGGGATGCAATTTCCCATTAAAAAAAAAAAAAAAAAAAAGGTTTTGTAATTTAGCTGAGACAAACACTGCGCCTTACATTATGTTTATTACGTGCTGTACTTTCTGGTCTCTTAATTTCCAATCTTTATTACATAACAATACATTATATATATATATATATGTGTGTGTGTGTGTATATATATGTATATATAATTCCTCTGCTTTTCTTCTAATCACTCTGTATTTCATTTGGTTTACAACTCTGCAATTCTTTATTTCATTTTTGACATAAATTTCTCTCTCCCTCTTTTGTTTTTTCCACTTCTCTCCCCCCTTCGCTTAAATCTTCTTCATCTTCTCCGTTTTCTCCTCCATTCACTCCCTTTTCACGCTTCTCAATTTCATTTCCATCGGGAAACCCTATCGTTTCAATCTCTGCGCTTCTTGGCTTCGATTGGGCTCTGTTTGATTCATCCATGATGCCTCTCAAGCATTTGCACCAGTTGCTGGAAGAAGATCAAGAGCCCTTTCATTTGAATACCTACATTGCTGAGAAACGGGTTAATCTCAAAAGGGTTTCGTCTAAAACCGATTTGCAAGTTAAAAAACGGAAACCCATTTCGACGAATTCTATTTTTCCTGGAAATTTCTGCAAAAATGCGTGTTTTACGTCCTTCCAGCCTTCGCCGGATTTCAGGAAATCTCCGCTTTTTCAGTTTCGTTCTCCGGCGAGGCATAGCCCTTGCAAGAGCCCCAATGCTATTTTCCTCCATATTCCTGCTAGAACGGCTGCTTTGCTTCTGGAAGCTGCTCTCAAGATTCATAAACAGAAATCTTCTATGAAAGCTAAAAAAATCCAGAGTAAGAATCAGGGGTTTGCGCGATTTGGGTCAGTGTTGAAGCGATTAACTCTTCGAAATCGGAACTCCAACCGTGAAACTGGAGATTGTGGTGGTGGAGCGGAGTTGGCGTCGTTTGGGCAAAGAAAAAGCTCTGTTCGAAGGCACATAGTGCAGGGCGAGACGAGTTCCCACAATGGAATGTCTAGCTATGGCTTCTGGTCCGAAACCAACGAAGAAGGAAGATCAATGGATTTGGGAACTTCATGTAGTAGCCAATCCGAGGATTCAGAGGAGACGTCTGTTGCTTATTTTGGGGAAGATTACTGTGAAAGCCCATTTCGATTTGTTCTTCAACGAAGCCCCTCGTTCGGCTGCCGGACGCCGGATTTTCCATCGCCGGCGGCCTCTCCTTGTCACCGTTACAAAGAGGTTTGTCATAACCATCATCTCAAATTTGAAAATTTACTCTGTTTTTAGGAATTCCGTTTCCATTTCAGGAGAGGGGTAAGCGTGAAAATTTTGAACTTTGACATTAAATGCTCTGAGTGTTGTTGATAGTACTTTTGAGCATATCTCTGCAATGAAGATCGTTTTCTCTTTTTTACTGTCTGAGTGGGAAACTATTTGGTTAAAACAGACAAAAACCACTTTCTTTTTTGCTCTTGTATTGCAGTATTGCCTTACTGCTTCCTTTTTAGAATACAGTAACTTTTTGCAGTACAAGTTTCTGACCAATTCTTTTGAACTTTTATCTGATCAAAACTGATTAACCTCAAGTTCATTAGTTTCAATGGATGAAATTCAATCACTAATCCTTGAAACTTCATTTGGATGGTTAAAATGAGGCCCATTTTAAGTTTCTGTTCATGGTTCAGACTTGGTGAAGGAAAGGAAATTAAGTAGAGAATCTAGATTTGATGTTGATATCCATTGATTTTTTAATTTCGTTTGAATGTTTGTACAGGACGAAATAGTGAACAGTGCAGAAAGTTTGAAAAAAATTCAGGAAGAACAAGATGAAGAAGATAAGGAGCAATGTAGTCCTGTGTCTGTATTGGACGCTCCTTTTGATTACAGCTACGACGAAGGGCATGACGACAGGGAGAGGGACGGAGACGGGAATGGGGAAGAAGAAGAAGAAAATTACGGTTTGGAATGCAGCTATGCAACCGTGCAAAGTAAGTAGCCATCATAAGTCCATTTGATAGTCTATGATTTGCAGTTTATCAATTTCTGATCACCATTTTTACATATATGTTAGGAACAAAGCAGCAACTACTAAACAAGCTTCGTAGATTCGAGAAACTCGCAGACTTGGACCCGATTGAGCTTGAGAAAGTAATGCTGGAGGAAGAACTAGACGAAAATGATCACGACTACTTCGATAACGAAGAATGCGAGTACTACGATGGGTCAGCTCAATCGTATAATGAAAACGAGATTGAATTGTTTGTGAAAGAGGTTGCAGACAATGCAATCTGTAAATCCAAATGGTTTTTCCCTCCAGACATGAGGAAACTCATTACCGATCTCGTTTCCGAAGAAGAGGCAGATCGAAGCAGCGATGAGACAAGAGAGGATGTGATACAAAGGGTTTGCAAGAGGTTGGAGATGTGGAAAGAGGTGAAATTCAACACAATTGACATGATGGTGGAAGAAGATTTGAGGAAGGAGGTTGATGAGTGGAAGAAAAACCAGGCGCAGAGAGGAGAGGCAACCACTGATTTGGAGGTTGCAATCTTTAGCCTGTTGGTGGAGGAATTGGCTGTTGAACTTGCTTGTTGAAATGGCTAAAGTTTTGGGAAATACAACAAATTTCTATTCAATCTTTCTCTATGCTTTCTTAAACAAAATATTAATTCATTTGGTCAATCAATCTGAAATCACAAACAACTGGCTCGCTAGTGGTCTACTTCAGCACCAAACATCCTCGTTACCTAGGTGTCCACTGCCGGAAGCTCCGGCTAATGGGTGTCCGAGATTAATGGCCGCTGGTTGGCTCTCAAAGGCCCCGATGCTGACCTTCCTAACTCGGCGTCTTCGCAAACAGTACTAGTTTACACTGCGGCACATGGCATTCAGGCTGCAGCAGCGTCTTCTACTGCGGCGATAGGGGCAGCTGCAGCTACAAGGGGGTTTGATGGAGAATCTGTTAGTGCGGTAAGGTTATGATATACAATATAAGAAAATCTCTGAGAGCATAAACAAAATTCACTCGAGACTAAAAATTCTCTAACAACTCCAATCACGAATGTTGTTATTAACCGATGACAAACATCAAAATTACAACACAAAACACGAAATATTCGGTTCTTCAACTGAAATGTTAACAAAATAGACTTGCAAAAACCTCACATGCAAACACTCTCCTCAAGCTTATTATAACAACGTCTGGCGCAACCTGATATTAGCGGTGGGATTAGAAAGAGAGCCATATATGAAGCCTGAGAATCCAAATACAAAATGCCGCAGCTTATATCTTTTTGGGTCTAAAAACAAGAGCACTCCCAAAACTAATCAATAGCTGTAGTTGTCAACGTGGAGGCTCTCCGAGGCACCCTCGCTGATCTTAGCATCACCCTTGTAAGTTCCAAGAGTAGCTTCAGAGTTGGCCTTGCACCTTACTAGTAAAGCAGCCTGAGCTTTGGGGATGTTCTCTTCCTTTCCGGACCATGCCTTCAGAGTACTCTGCTGCAGGGCTCGTCCAAAGGAGAAGGAAAGAGACCATGGCTTCTTACCCTTGAGTTTGTTCATGGCATTAAGGTTGACGGTGGCCTCCTCTTCGCTCTGTCCACCAGACAAGAAAACCACAGCAGGGACTGCAGCAGGAACTGTACGCTGTAGGGCACGCACGGTGTACTCTGCAACAACTTCAGGTGCAACCTTTGCAGATTGAGATCCAGGGGTAACCATGTTGGGCTTCAACAAGGTTCCTTCAAGGAGAACATGGTGGTCATTTAAAGCCTTGTAGCATGCAGCAAGGACACGTTCAGTTACATCAGCGCACTTGTTGATGTCATGAGAACCATCAACCAAGATCTCAGGCTCTACAATGGGTACAAGACCGTTCTCCTGGCATATGATAGCATATCTGGCCAATCCGTTGGCATTTTCATTGATAGCCAACTGTGAAGGTTCGTTAGCACCAATCTTGAGCACAGCACGCCATTTAGCAAAACGAGCACCAGCTTCATAATACTTCTGGCAGCGTTGGGCAAGGCCGTCAAGACCCTGGGTTGTGGTTTCACCGTTGGTTCCAGCAAGTTCAACAGTGCCCTTGTCAACCTTAATACCTGGGAGTACACCACCTTCCTTCAAAACATCAACGAAAGGCTTGCCTGCACAAAGGAACAGAAGGGAAAGAAATAGTTAGAACCATCAATTTTGCCTGTTCATAAGATTCAAAAAGTGCAATTCAAAATGGTAAAAAGACCAAAGACCGAGTGATTAGTTAGAATACCTGCAGAGGTCTTCTGGTAGAGAGTTTCTTCAAAGAGAATGACTCCGCTGAGGTATTGGAGAGCATTAGGAGCAGTGAAAAGGAGTTCACGAAGAGCACGTCTGTTTGTTTCAACATTCTCGACATTGATACTGGCAAAACGCTTTCCAATTGTGCCAGTTGATTCATCAGCAGCAAGAATACCCTTTCCGGGTGTTCCAATGTAGGCAGCATTGGCAATAAGCTCGTCTGCAAGGTGAAAGAAAATACAGAAATAATGATCAACAGCAGAATGGATAAATGTAATTCACAGAAATACTCAAAGCATCAGAATGCCCAATAAACTTTTGACTACAGGTAAAAACTAAATTCAACAATATGGTCTCATAAATCAAAGGTACATACACAACTACAGTTACCACTATCAAAGTACACACATTTTCCAAAGCAAGGATGCCGGGTAGAAAAAAACATCAACTAAAATCATGACATCAAACACTATTCGTAAGATCTGAATCTAGACGCCAGTGGTACTAGGCGACCAACTTCACTCAGAGAAAAGCTCAGTTTTTTTGGGTATACTATTTCGGGAAAAGTGAGAAAAGGGTATGCTCTCGTTACGTATCTAACGGAGGAAAACCCCCGAACACACAGATCTGAACTGCTACCCTATCGATCTACTCACTAGCAGCTAGAACTATCCAAGTAAATTAGAGAGAAAGAGGAGCACTAGCTACAATGAATTTGAACGAGAAAACATCTAAACATCTAAATCTCGTGCATTACAGGCAATTCACATAAGCTTCAATTCTCATTGAAGTGAAATATTGCGTTAGATGGATCGGATAGTAAAAAAAAAAAACAGAAAATTGGAGATCGGAACACAGTAAGTAAATGAAACATCCAACACAAGATCTGGACTAAAGATGAAATGCATGAAAGAAAACAGAGGAAAAAGATGAAGAAGGAATCCATTACCAGCGTATTTGCCTCTGTAGCAAGACATCTTGGATACGTAAAAGTAGAAGTGAAAGATTGAAGCTTTGTGAAAAGGCAAAATAAATCGATGAAAACAAGAAAGGGTTAGGGTTAGGGGTTTTAAGGCGGGGCGGAAAGAGCGAGAAATGTGCATCCACATGGACTTTTCATCATTTGCACGTGACATTTCCACCAACGGACCATATTGTGATTTTACCCTTTTGCCCTCCACTGGAACCGTGTGCAATACGAAAAGCGGCGGTAATGGTTTTGTCGATAAGTTGTTGGTTTTGGCCCTTTGGTTTCTGGATCCCTTTTTCTTCACCAAAATATGTATATATATATATTTTTTTTAAAAAAATTCTAATTTAAATTACTATACAATAATAATAAAAAAAGCTCTTACCACTGTTTTTTACCCATTTAAGACGTTATTAATTAAAATTTTATTGATAATTATGCTAAAAAAGAAATTATTGATAATCTTTGTAATTTTGTAATTTTACTTAAATTTTGTTAGGAAATTCATAAGGTTAGGTATAAAATTGTGGATCACATCTTGTATACAGAGCATAACAAATAACTAGAGTATCTCCCCCTTGTATACAGAACATAACTGAAGTACTTGAGAAATGGGTATACAGAAAAATGGTACAAAAGATCTGATGGAACTTACATAGTTGTGTACAATATTAACACTTCGATGCATGAAATCTAATGTGACAGCTAAAGAATTAGGAGCGGCTTTTGGCACTACATATTAACATGAGGCACTTCAAGGGTTTAGTAAACCTCTCTGTTAGAGTTGCCGGGAATTGAATGTTTCAGTACTATTTGTTTGTACAAGAGGGGAAAGTTAGAGCTGACGATAAGAGAGGGCCGCTTTTGATGGACTCAGCAGCCGCGGTGACATTATACGTAGAAGAGCACAACGCTGGGGGTTGACATTGCACAACTGGAGAGGGAATAAGTGTATTTTGATGGTAAAGCGAGAATATGGGCGTCAACAAAACTGAACCTTGGTTCGCCTAAAAAATGGAGATACTTCAGAAAAGAAATCAATATACATCAATGAATCTGCAACCAAACACAAGCATTGTGCTATCAACAATTTGAACATTGCATATTAAATAACAGAGGACTCCTCCCCACCCAGGAAGTCTAAAACAGTTCAATTCTCTACCATTAGGAACACATGTATGGGGAGAACAGAGTAGGAACCAGGATAGAAACCTTACCAACACACACATGAATCTATCTGAACAGCATCTTATCTGCCAGACAAAACCTTTTGAGAACTCTGTTTTTCACATGAACAAAACTGAGGAATCCCTTGGATTCCCTCATTGAGCAACTAATGACATGTTTGGGCGAACTTGATTAGGTGTAGCTGGTTTGATCAATGGCTTCAATGATTCCATTATTTCATAAAAGGATGGACGTTTCCAGGGCTCGCTGAAATATAAATCCAATAATTGCTTGAAAAATATTGAGAGTAAAACGGTGAAGGAAAACCTTGCAGAAGTTCAACTCACCTGGCGAAGCAAGCCTCTATAATAGTAGCAACTTGAGGATTTAAATCACGTGGGATCTCAAGCCTTTTGCCTTTGAAACCCACGGCTGCCACAACCTACATAAGAATATTCTCCGTCAGGCTTAAAGGGCAGATTAACTATAATGCTATAGCATTTTGGGGTTTGGCAAAGACCAAATTATCCGTCCTCCTAATTTACTGAGTCACAGACAAAACAGAAACTACAAACAAGTAAAATATCATGCTACAATATAAAAGAAATTACCAATTGCCTTACAGTGTAAATTTACAGCATAGTATAGTAGAATAAAAATGTAGGATAAACTGAGATAAAGAGTAGATGCAACAAATAAAACGTGAAGGGTATTGCATCAATAATAGCATCCACAAAACACTTAATTCCAAAAATCGCCAATTCTTTTTAAAACTTTATGGATACTTAGGATCAAAGAAGTGACATACATCACTCTGAAGCGATTGCCATGAAAAACCAATGCCAGACTCGGGTTATTTTTTAATACCAGTTGCTCTAGAAAGTTCATATTTCAAAGTATTATTACAATTCTCTGACAATTAGGACTCGAGGACAAAAGGGTACAACCTAAAGGTCCTTCAAATAAGGTTGTTTATTAACCAGTCTTCAACGGACAAATATCCCTTCAAAAGATTTGACTTTAACAACCTAAAAAAATTATCAACCAGGCAATGAAAAGTCAAAGGAAATTTCTCGTTATAGCACATTAATAATCTTAATCTTGAAAGTAAACCTGCGCCGGGTTCAAGTTGCCCCATGGTTGCAGCAGTGAAGCAAGCTCCCACAGTATCACACCAAAGCTATAAACATCTGATTTCTCATTTGAAGGCTCATCACGGAGAACTTCGGGTGCCATCCATTCAGGCTGATAAAAAGGAAGTAGTATTTTTGTTGGTTAATAAAATGTTCAGATTCAAGAAACATCTCTCAATTATTACATGGAATAATGCTGTAAACACAAGAACTTACAGTCCCAGCAGCTGATTTTGATGAAAGAAATGTGTGTGCCTTCAAGCGTGAAAGCCCAAAATCACAAATCTACAGGCACATCAGGCAGATAGAATTCGATCAATGCAAACTGAGAGAGAGAGAGAGACGAACAAAACCCTAAAAGGATTTCCTCCTGTGTACTGGGTACTGGTAAGCTCATGTGTACATATAATAATCAATTTTAACACAAAAGTGTAAAAAGTAGAACACAACTTGATAGGAGACGAATTATTTTAGAACTTTGATCATTCCACTCCACGTGGTGTTAAAGTCTGTTTGCAACTTTGACAACAAATAAATGCATATGCATTGGAGAAAAAAAAATGTCATATCCTGAAACATTACTGAACAGAGATCAGTACAATTCATTGACTTAGATAATTCAAGTTGAAGTCTTGACAGTCTCACGAAAATATATAAACATTAATCAGAAATGAAGTGCCACAATATGTATGCATAATCGGTAAAATTCAATACTGAGGCAGATTATTCCCGATCATCTGGGTGGTCCATTGAATAAATGCACATCAACTAATATGACAACTACTGAAAACAAGTCTTTAGATAGACATGACTATGACAAAAAATTTAATAGACAGACTAACTCACGGAATCTTTAGATATAATGTCAATAATCAATATAGAAAGCCAGAGATTCTCAGTTCCAACCTTTACTGTGTACTTCTTATCAACCAAAATATTTGGAGATTTCAAATCACGATGTACAATTGGGGGATTACGTTTGTGAAGATAATTCATCCCTTTTGCCTGTTAATATCAACGACAGAACAGTAAGCTCAAAAGGATGAACAGATGTCAAGACATGATGATGATAATTGATAATAGCATTCACAAAATACAAGATGCAACAACTAAATGCCATGGTTTGAAAATACATACAACATCATGTGCCATGTTTAACCGACGTCTCTCATCTAAGACTTCTCGTGCCCCAGGTCTATGCAAAAGCCTGTGCAAACTCCCTCTGCAATTAAGTCATCAATTGGTGAACATATAACTTTTTGAAGGGTATAAGCATTCAACACTTGAGGAATTTGAAGAACCTTGATAAGTATTCCGTGACAATGGACAAGTTTGGAGGCTCAGTGACTGCACCCATAAAAAGAACAATGTTCGGATGTCGTAGAGATTTCATTATGGAAACCTGGAAAAGCAAAAGAAGTGATTGAACCTACTGAGTGATTACTTGCAAGTGATGCGCAATTGTAGGAAAATTATCTTCAAAATATTATGAGTGCTTCAAATTTTTGGAAACACATACCTCCCTAAGAAATTCCTCGAACCGTTCTGCATTAAGGTCTTGTTCCATCAGAATCTTCACCGCAACATCCTAAAATTTCAAAGGCCCAAAAAAACATAGTCTTCATCACATATGGTTGAAGTACATTTAAAAAAAAAAAAAATTGATGAAAAAACACAAAAAAAATTATGATAAAAAAAATGCAACACGACTTTGAAATCTGAGACCTACGTTAAAAGAATGAAAGAAAGAAAGAAAAATTAAGGTTCTTACTGAGCCGTGCCAATCAGCATGATACACTGTCCCAAAAGAACCTGCATTAACCAAGTAGACAGTAAGTGTGGCAACATAGAGAATGATGATATGATATTATAAAGACTACATTTCTCGCTGGCTAAAATTCTTATGCGATGAAAAGGCAGAAAATGTTTCTATCAGAATGAGAACATATATATACCTGCTCCAATTTTCTCCCTCAAAATAAGATCATTCCATGGAATAACAAAATCTTCTATGCCAAAGGAAAGCTGATTCGGTTTTTTAACCAGCCGATTACCATCAACGAATGATAAATTATTAGCAGGATCCATCTTTAGACAGGGCAGTGCTAAGAGAGGCTCAGAATCTCTGGAGCCAATCTGTGAGATCTGGTTTAAACGAACCACATTTTCTACAAAAGAGGTAGACTGTACACTATGTTGAGTAGTAGAATCACATGATCTAAATTGCTCAGACTTTCCATCTTGAGCATTCCGTTGAGTAACTTTTGGATTCATTAACTGAGGACTTCTATCCCTGTCACCAGCAAGCACTATGTTTTTTCCATGTACATCCTTCCTGTTGAATGGCCTTTGATAGACAGAGCATGCAGTATCCTTCCCAGATACAACATTCCCTGCAATTGAAAATTCTGAACTTGTTAACAGAAACCACTGTGTCCGAGAACACATTACAACACTGATCATACAATTGTCGAAGTCTATTTATGATTGGCTGGTGGAAGCCTTCTCATTTAGTAGTTGGTCTAAACAAGCTAAATTTTTGCGGAACTGTGAGGCTCAAGCTTAATTATGGCATGGAAAAAACCAGAGAGTCTTCAAAGATAAGACTTCTCTTGAGTTGTTTTGTAGAATGTTCAGATAACTTGCTCTTGGTGAAGTTATAATCACAGTAAATTCATTTGTAATTACAACCTGTCCTCGATTGTGAACACTGAAATGCTTTCTTATAGTTTTCTTTTTTGGGAGGGGGTTCACTCTACCCTGGGCCACTAAGCTGTTCTTCCTTTTTTTTTCCAATCCTGTATAGTTTCTTGTCTTTAAAAAAAAA